GATCACACAATCAACTGCAGAAGCCAACCCGGATCATCCTGAAGAAGAATGAAACGTCGGTTGTGGTCGATCACCTGACACCCGATTGACCGACTTATTCGCTTGCGTTGTGTAGAAATAAACAGTTTTCATGCATTTTTCAGTTTTCAAAGCAGAGAGCTGTGCTTGGACGCATCGAACAACAATCGATAAAATCGAACCCGTGAAACAACCAGCGTAGAACTGGAAGAAATACGTAACAGAAAGAAGAAAAAGAAAACAAGACGACTGTGTCAGAATCAGCAAAGTTCAAGCAACATTGGTTAACGATAACAATACAGCTAGGAAATGATCATCGGAAACTGGTCAAGTGGTAGAGTGCTGAAAAGGCAGGCATTATACTAGAAGCGTGTCGTACAACGATGACTCGCCTTCGCTTTACATAAAAAGAAGCTAGGCAGCATGTCGTCGCCAATTACGGAATGTATGAGTCAAGATTTAATTCAGGTCACAGAACGATACCCAGTAATCGATAGCACGACTGAGATGCTTGTTTTAAAATGGAAAGGAAGTCATGAGAGATATACGAGGGCTCGATTGTTCATATTGTGCGCCGAAGATGTTCAGCGAAATCCTGAAATTCACCGCGGCCATGCGAACTGTTTGGCTTGCGAATCCTCTTTCGAAAGGTGTTATGTCTCACACAACATATTCTCAATCACGCGTAAAAGGAACGTTTGCATTTATCGGCCATAAACCAAGGTCGGCACATAATATGCATAGGGTCAAATTGCTATTGTCTGCAACCTGTTTTCATGAATATAAATAGCTTAACACGGTCTTAAAGAACGTGAACTCTGAATTCTGACAGTACTTCAAAAAAAGTAATTATTGATAAAAAGTGCTGTGCTTGGTTAATAATTCCGCTTCTGCATATCGATCCATCGTCTGAGAAATGAATCATGCCAATTTTTCTTGCTCCTTCAGAAATGGCTTTCCTTCAGTTCAGCAACTAGAATAATAACAGCAACTTGTCATAAGCTGTTACACTAAATTTAACTGTTTTATTTCAAAAAATTATTCCTCTGCCTGACTTCATCTTCTTTTACCTAAGAGGAATTTCACACATGACACTCAAACAGGTTCATACTTCAACTTGTACTTTAAAAACCCATGATGCCACATTAAATTACCGCAGTGGAAGTAGATTTGCCCTTTGTACTGAACTGTCGCTTTCAGTTCAACTCCAAAAAGTAGAAACTATTTGTTTAAAGAGTTTAATTGAGGACGTCACTTTGCCTATGAAGAAAAAGAAAACAGTTAATCAAAAATTGAGAAGTTCATGTCTTCTTCTTCTGAATCCTCCTCTACAACTTTCTTCGTAGGTTCTTCTGTAAATGTGAAGTCACAATTTAAAATTTCGTGTCGATTATTCGAGGTTTACCTTTCTTTTCCGCTGGAGCTGACTCCTTCTCAGCACCACCACCAGCTGCCGGTGCCTGCCCAGCAGGCGCAGCCCCGCCGGAAGGTACCGTAGCCAACTGCTTGCTACCTGAAAATCACTTGAGTCAAAAACAGCTAACAATAAGAAATATGAGAAGAAAGATGAACCACATAAATGAAAAATCATGGGAATCCCTAAGTGATTCTAACAATTATGGCTAACACGAATAAACAAAATTCAAACCTGCTTGAGTTAAAGAAAAGAACTCTGAAATAAGACTTTTAGAAGTCAAAAAACAACAAACGTACAGTAATAACTCCGCTGAATGTCATCAGCACAGAAATGCTTGTTTACATGCATGCAATGATACAATACTAAATTATAACCATCATACGCTCTTCTTTCAAACAAGATTTCTTGCAGCCGTGATGTCACGTTAAACCAAGGACATTTATTCCCTAAGGCTCCTTAGAAAGCTTGCAACAGAGATCAGGAAACCTTCGTGTTATGTTTCGCAATGAATGGTACCCATGACAATAAAAAATAGAACGCTTTCGCGAAACTGTCATGTGCATAAGAACCTGAAGGCAATAATGTTTTACTATTAAGAATTACGATCGACAATGTCTCACATCTGTTCACAAACTGATATTCATACAGCACATGAACAACCATCAGCTTTCAAAGCCCTACTCCTATTGAATAACGAAAATAACATGAGGGCTTTTCATATCATGATCCTCATCTTCCACCAATTTACGCTGTATATAAGACCCCAAGGGCATCTTTTGCCAGTTGCGCTGGTCACAGTCGTCCGGAGAGTGGATATATCGATATGGTAACAAAGCCTGCTCATCCGTACGTAGGCACAGCTGAACACATCCAGCTAATTTCGTAACGGGATCCGCGTTAACCCTTATGATGATGACGCGGTACAAAACTCTATAAATGACAGACATATGGTCTCCTGCAGCTGTGTGCCACTGGTCTGTATTTACTCTTCCAAAAACTTGGCATGAAAGGCTTTTCGATGATCAATTACCGATGCAATAGATAGCAAAGCCTTAAGCGCGACAGAGATACGCAAGTCAGCTAACATGCTAATAATAAAGGTAAATAATAATAAATAAATTTAAGC